TAATGTTCAAAGTTGTCTCTGAACTTCAAAAGAGCATGCCTCTCTTCTTCTATGCAGCCCTCCTCAGTCAGATTTCCACAGAAACAGAGTTGTGAAGCTTCAAAAGAAAGTAGAAAGAAAATCAAAAGCACGTCACTCAGAGATCGTCTCATGCTTACTAAATGGTTATTATAATGCTCAATCATGGAAAGTAATGGATACGGAGACGATGAGGTTGTTGCTGTTAATTTATAGGTGTGACTAAAGAACAAAGAAGATTTATATATTAATATTTGCAATACAGAAGACTCGAGTTAATGCTAATTTATGTAATGGTTTAGCCCCAACTCCACTTTATATATACTCGGGATAATTAATTATTCATACTGGTCATCCGGAAGAAAAAGGAATGCACATAGACTAATTATTGCAGTATATTTTATTCAAATAAATACTTAGTGATCAATTGCATTTTGACTTTGTGGTGAATAATAACCAATTGAACAAGCTGCTAGGTAAAATTCTTCGCCTCATGTGTTGCACAAGGAAATTGTATGATTTTTAGTTATAATGTGCAAAAGGAAAGAAAAAATTAGTTTTTAAAAGGAGCAATTTAACTGTGAAAGAAAAAATAAACATTTCAATAAATTAAATTACAGTCAACTCTTCCCTATGTATTGGTTTAAAGACTAAACTACTCCACTAGCTTGTAATTAGTGGATATTAATTAAGTTATTAATAAATAATTGTAAACGCACTTCATACTTTACGGTCCATACATACTACACGGACAGTTACTTAAATAGGTATTCTAGTTTTCCATGCATATATAAATATAAATAAATCATTTAGCCAATTATAAAATCAATTATCCAATTTATGCAATATATGCAATTCTATTTTTAATTTCTTAACATCGGTTTAAAATATTTTTACCTTATTTTCATATTTTTATAAAGGATCAACATTTATATTACATGTGTGCGTGTGGACTAAAACACAAGATATTAAGTAATAATGCTTTTTATTCTCAGAATCATGAACACCCATGTCATATTTAATTCATGTCTCATTACATTGTTAATTTTGCACATGCTATTGGCTCCAAGGCCGTGATTCTTAAAGATCCTTCAAGATTGCTGAAATGTACTCCCTTTATCTCAAATTATAACACACTTTTAGATAAAATCTCGCATATCAATAAACCTTATTAAATACGCTTAACGACCTTATCCTTTCAAAACAAAAATATAAACTTTCAAAAATACTCATCATTTAATATATTGAAAAGAAAAGGGATAAAAATTTATTATAGAGAGAGAAAGGGTAATATTAAAATTGATACATTTAATGAAATTTTAATCTATTCAAAGTGTTTTATATTTTGGGATGGAAAAATTCTTTTAAAAGTGCTCTATGGTTTGGGACGAAGGGAGTACTTTGTTTGGAGTCCTTGATTGTAATCCTTCAAAATTATCAATTTCAAGTTCTTCTATAAACCCACTGAGCATTCCTAAACTCATCAGTAAGTGATCGCCATGTTTGTTAGTGAGTAGTGACCATGTTAATAAATAATTTCCTTTTGGGACGTACGTATTCTAGTCTGCCATATATATATATATATATATATATATATATATATATATCTTCCATTTTAATTTATACAAGACGTGTTGTATAATGCTAATTTTTTTTCAGATATTTCAATCCTTTTTTCCCCCTTCAAAACAATGTTATAAATCTTGTTACAAACATCTTATACATTATCATGTTTTAGGAATACTAAAATTTTCAGGTACACAAGCTTCAACTAATGACAGGTTACCGGGGAAAATTTTTTGTAGAAGCCAAAACGCTGTCAAAGATGGTGTGAGAAGCAATTGGAAGCTCTAGCAATAACGCATTATCTTAGTGCAATTTTCATTGCTTTTCCTATTTGGATTTAAATCATCTAAAGTTGATTCATCAATTTATACGAAGTTTTACATTTTTAGTATCTTTTTCCATTTTATTATTTTTATAAAATATAAAATATTTTCTTTTTTTTTAAAAGACAAGTTTCACAAAACAACTACATATGTCAACTTCAGAGAATTTAAATTCACTTCCTTCATCTCCATCATTATTGTTGCTAAGGAGAATCCGATTACTTGTTTATTAACATCAGATTTTTTTATTCCAATATTAATTTTATGAGTAATTTAGATAGAAATATGGGTGGATGAATGCTTATTGTTATAGCTTTCTAATCATGCATTCTAAATTAATAAAACGCGTCTTTTATAAAAAAGAATAACATTACCATATTATATAAATTTATTTCAAACAATTTTAATTTTTTTATCTTACCTCATTTAGCCAATTATAAATCATTTATCCAATATATGTAATTATTTTCAATTTTCTAATATGGATTAAAAAACTTTTTAACTTTTTATCAATTTTTTTTATAAAGGATCAACATTATGAGTGTGCATATAGACTAAAAAAGTAAGATAATAAATGTTAAAACTTTTTATAATATTTTTTAAGAAAATATATTAAACATGATAAAATAATTATTTTTTTTGTTAGTAAAGACTAGGCACATAACAATGAACAATCACGGCTCACATGTTAAAAAAAAAAACTAAAAATCCAACTTTTCTTATGCCTTGACATTGTGGGAAAAATGGAAGGACAATTTAGGACAAGAAATCAACCGGATCGGGTCAAGTAATTGATTCCTCATAATATAACAAATTAATGTTTAAATCTCCATTAATATTAATATACATACATATGTGTGTGTATTCACATTTAATACCTTTACACATAATTGCTTCTAATAGAAGAATAATTGTGCCCCAAAAAAAAAAATGCACACAATGAAAAGAATACAAAGAGAGTACATCTCAATGAAAGAAAAAAAGAAGAGAGCTTGTTTTTGGATAAAAGAGAGTTTGTCACTAGACCACAGGTACAAAAATACATGATAAATATTGGATAATATAATGTACTTAAAAGATTTAGCGGCAGAGAAATTCTTTTAATTATAACAATATCTTTTTTTTAATCATTTTATCCTTAATCCCTAATTTAAGGAGATAGAAAAATTGAAGGGTTATTAGCTAAACTATACGTTCAAAGACACCCAATATCATAAAATCAATTCTGGCCCATTCTTTCGCTTAAACTCAAAAAATTGGTTCAATTCACCCCTTACCATTAATTGATCTTACCGGTGTCTGTTAACTCATGTTGTTTGACCATGAAGGTCCACGTCATAACCTCTACATTCATCAGCCCATGTGCATACAAATCTTCCACCTCACGTAGGTCAGAATTTTTTTTTTTTTGAGTTTCAAAAGGCTAGTGATTTTTGGTTTGATATTGGTGTTTATGATTTCTGGTCGATCTTGATCTCAATATGGTTTTGATGCTTCTATGTTTGATGTTTTTATGTTCCTTGAGATGTTTGCATTTGGATTTGCTTACGTTCATTTTTGGGTCCCTTTATGTGTTCATTTATGGGTTTTTATTTGAATTTTAATGAAATATAGTTATGATGCTGTTTGATGCTCCTGTATTTGATGAAAACGAACCTAATTTTTGCATTTGGATTTGCTTATGTTCATTTTTGGGTTCCTTTATGTGTTCATTTCTGGGTTTTTGTTTGAATTTTAATGAAATATGGTTCTGATGTTGTTTGATGCTCCTATGTTTGATGGAGACAAACCTAATTTTTGCATTTGGATTTGCTTATGTTCATTTTTGGGTTCCTTTATGTGTTCATTCCTGGGATTTTGTTTGAATTTTAATGAAATATGGTTTTGATGTTGTTTAATGCTCCTGTGTTTAATGTTAAAGAACTTATTTTTTGCACTTTTGGGTTTGCACTTGGATTTTTTGTGTTCGAACTAGGATTTGGATTTGGACAATGGAGCATTTTTAGTTTGTGTCAATTTGATTATCTGCACTTTGTTGTATGTATGATGGATTTTTTTGTGCAAAACACGATAAGGACAATGGAGCATTTTTAGCCATGTTAAGGAGAAGATAAGATTTTTATATATGAAAAAACAAATTGATTCAACTTACCACATGGCATGGCAAGTGGCTAAAAAGTCAAATAGTTCAGTTCATGTCAGCATTAATAATTAACCTTCAATTAACAACAAGTGCAAGGATGATATGGTTTTGAGAGTTTAAGTATATAGTTTACACCTAAACCATAATCATTGATAATGGAATTGATTATAAATATTTAAAATCACTAAGAATGACATCCTTAAGACCTTAATCATTGTATTCCCTCTTTTAAAGAAAATTCAAATAATGGTTGAACCCTCATGACCATTACACATCATTATTCCATTCCATCAAGGAAAAAAACTCCCTAACAAGCAGTCGAAGAAATGCTTATTGTTTTCCTTTTATATATGGTTCTTTTTTTTTTTTTAAAAAAGTGTTTGCATTGTTTGCCTATAGTACGGTTTTTTGTTGTGTTCTTTGTCTATTTTTTATAATAATTTTCCTATATTCAATGAAAACAATAGATGATGGAACGATAATATAAAAATATAACTAATTTAATTTAAACTTTTTTCCTAATTTTTTTAAAATGTTTTAATTATAATATTAATTTAAAATATAATTTAATATTTACTAATATAAAGTTAATTTATGTACAATTACTACAACTATTGTTTTTCTTACCTGAATAGTACTTGAATTTCATTATAACAGTGAAAACAAAGAGTCTACAAGGACCAAAGAAGTTAAAAAAAAAAAAAAAACAACAACAACAACAGTACAAGAAAAGCAGAACACTAATAATCAAACAAAAACAAAACAACAAAACTGAACATCAAATGCCAGGATATGAAGGATCTGAGAAGCAAGACATGGCCACCTCCAATCACAAGTGTTCGGGTTGCCAGATTTGATCAGCTTTATGCATCCAAGATTATGGGGTTCAATAACAACTCTTTGGGGGATAGCAAACCTCCTGCTACACCGTTGCTAAACTCAAACTCTCATCAAGATTTCTGCCATATTCTCTTGATCCTTGCAACTCTTATTGCTATTGCTACATATATTTGATCAGCTATTTTCTCCACATATCTAAAACAAACATACCTTAATCTCTTGTTGACCACTAGGACTCCAATAGCTCCCCAGAATCCTGTTATGAAACCAAGGGTAACAACAAAGTAAAACAGGATCTTTTCTTTTTTGTTGTCGTCGTCTTTGCCTTCATAAGTTGGGGCTTCATTATTGTCATCCCGGGAGCATTTTTTCAGCACAGGTTCTCCACAGAGATATTGATTTCCAATGTAAATGGATGGATCCTCAAGTGTAAGGAACTGATTTCCCTCTGGAATTGGCCCCGAAAAGTTGTTGTATGACAAATTCAAGCGTGTTAAAAATGTCAAAGAAGACATGCTACTTGGAAGTGCACCTTCAAGTTGGTTCCATGAGAGGTCCAGTGATTCTAGAAACTTCATTTTCCCTATTTTGCTTGGAATTTCTCCTGATAAAGAGTTGTGTGATAAATTCAAGTTAACCAATCCATTGAGAGAAGTTATAACTTCTGGTATAAAGCCAACAAGGTTGTTGCTTGACAAGTCCATGTTAATTACATACTGGAGAGTTCTTGTGTAATCAAATTCTCTTCCTTTCATGACTTGCTTGACATGTACTTTTTGCCATTGATCAAAGAATGAAAAAGACATAGGACTACTTGCAGGTACTAGTGGTTCAGAAGCTTCATCTAATGCTTGTTTGTTTATCATCATTCCCTTAAGATTCTCGATGCAAAAAGGAATTGTGCCTGTGAAGTTGTTATTTGCGAGATCCAAGCTTTGCAAGAAAGGGAGTTGGCAGAGGCTTGATGGGATACTACCATTAAATTTGTTTTGGCGAAGCCTAAGAATTTTGATATCATTAAAATCGCCCCACATACTTGAAGGTATATTGCCATATAGTCCATTGTTGCCAAGATCCAAAATATTCAATAAGTGGCAAGATCGCAAGGTTGATGGAAGCTCTCCATGCAAACTATTGTTGCTCAAGTTCAAAGATTCTAATGAATCAGACCTACACAATAACTGAGGAATGGTGCCTGATAATTGATTAGATGATAGATCTACCAAGTTTATGGAAATTTCACCCAAACAGCTAGGAATCTCATTGGATAATTTATTTTTTGAAAGATCCAAATCTCCATTGATCCAATTCAATTTACACAGTGATTTTGGAATAGAACCATTCAAAAGGTTGTTACTAAGGAACAAACTAGTCAATTGGGGTATCATATCATGGAGATTTCTTGGGAGTTGTCCACTAATCTTGTTGTTAGAGAGGTCTAGCGCATTGAGATACTCTTGTTGAAACCATGTTGGGAGGGTACCCCAAAGGCCGGTGTTTGATAAATCTAACCAGACTAAATTCTTTTGGCTTTGAAGCCAATAAGGAAATGATGTGTCAATTTTGCCAGATGACAAATTAAGATCTATTAATTGAAAAGGAGGCAACCAGTTGGGGGCAAGCTCTATAGATAACTTGTTCATCCCTACCCTTAATACTTGGAGATTAGACAGATTACCAAGGAGAATCTCCCCAAGAGCCCCTTCAAAGGAGTTAGTTGAAAGATCCAAAATTTCCAAGTTCAAAAGCTTCCCAAGACTATTTGGGATGTGACCTTTTAGGTGATTCCTAGAAAGACTTAACCCTTTCAAGGAAGACAACCTCCCCAAGAATGCTGGAATTGTTCCATTGAAATGATTATCTTCAAGAATTAGTTGTTGCAATTTGGTCAAATTTCTAAAGAATAATGGGATGGGGCCATATAGCAGATTTGAAGCCAAATTCAAGCATACAAGGTTCTTAAGTTGGGCTAAGCTTTCTGGAAGATCTTTCAACTCATTATGACTTAAATCCAGTGTTTGTAAATCACTGTTAATGCATACAGATATATTTTTTAAGCTTCTGAGTGTTTCTCCCTGAAAGTTTTTGTCTGGGAACAAGTCCAATGATTTTAGATTGCAATTGATTTTAGAATTCCAAGGACAATAAATTTCAAGAACAGAGAATTTATTATTGGAAAGATTGACATATTGAATCCTCTTGATGAACCACAAAGGAATTTTAGAAATCAAATTATTGCTTGAAAGGTCAAGGAATCTGAGGGAAGTAATGTTTTGAATAGCAATAGGAAACAAACCAGAAAGTTTATTCCTGGCTAGATTCAGATGGGCTAGAAACATGAACTCTCCTAGCCATAATGGAACCGAGCCAAGAATATTATTGTCAGAAATTGCAAGGAATGCAAGGGATGATGTGTTTTGAACAGCATTGGGAAATAACCCAGAAATGCTATTCATGGACAGATCCAAATGTTCTAGAAACCTAAGCTTTCCTAATCCTAATGGAACAAGGTCAGAAAAAAAGTTACAAGAGAGGTCAAGGGATCTAAGGGATGTCATGTTTTGCAAAGCCTTGGGCATGACATCTAGACCATTCCACCCAAGATTCAAGACTTGAACCTTGGAAGGAACAGTGGAGGAGTTCACAAAACCATTAGAACCAATGAGGCGGGGAGTATGACAATACATAAAGTCTGCTTGTAACAAGAATGGGAGATTGTAAATTACCTTTATTATATCATTGATCCCATTCTCAATGTGAACTCCCCCCATGTTAATATATCGCAAAGAAGAAAGTCGGGTGACCCAAGTGAAGTCATCCATGTATAAGTCTTGATTAAGTCTGGAAACATTTAAGCCATCTGAGAGAACTCCATTGAGATCAAGATTTTGTAAGTTGGTGAGGTTCCCCAGATGGTATGGTACCCGCCCAGAAAAGAAACAGTGGGAAAGATTAAGGTACCTTAGTTCTTTCATGGACCCAACAAACGATGGGATAGAACTGGATTGAAAATCAATGAAGCTTAAATCCAAGTAGCTCAAATGTTTCAATTCCAACAAGGACGAACTCATTGCTTTGCTGTGCAATATCCGGTGAGGAATTGTTTTTGGGCTGAGATCAATCTTGACCACATGACCAATGATGGCATCACATTTGACTCCTTTCCATCTGCAGCATTGTTTGCCGTCCCATGCGAGAACATCCCTTGAGTAATTCTCAAAGCTGTCTGTGAACTTCAAAAGAGCATGCCTCTCTTCTTCTATGCAGCCATCATCAGTGAGATTCCCACACAAACAGAGTCGTGAAGCTGCACAAGAAAGTAGAAAGAAAATTAAAATAATCTCAATGCCATCACTTATGGATCTTCTCATGCTTGCTAAAGGGATTTAACGCTCTAGCAATGGAAGTTATGGACAAGAAGACAAGAGGTGATCGGTGTTTATGGGAGACTGGAAAATGAGGATGAATGATAAATTCATACTTAGAATATATCTGTATATATAGAGAGATGAGTGATTGAGTGTTGAGTGAATTATTGATAACTTGTCTAATGATTTAAAGACTCTCATGGCACTTTTATTTAAGTTTTTTCATTAAAGACTCATTCATTTTTTTTAAAAAATTACTTTGAGGAGATTTTATTATATGTGTTTAAACTCTTAAATATAATCAAAATCTTGAAATTTTTTTAATTATTTTAAGAAGTTATTTAAGTAGCTTCTAAAAGTAGTAAGACATACACATATATGACAGAGAATGTTATCAAATATGAAAATGCACTGAAATTAAGTTAATGATAACTTATTTCTTACGTATAAAGATTCATAAAAATACCATAAAACTTTAAAATTATTAAATATTAAATAACTTTTTTTAAAGAAAATATCTAAAACATTTAAAAATCCACAAGGACTCAATTTTAGCCACAAATTCATATTTGCTTTATAAGAAGATTGAGTCCATGCTAACTTTTGCCATGGTTCCAAGATTCAACTTCACTTATCTTTTCATATGTACTTACAAAAAAACAGAGCTAGTAATACAGTACAAAGATTTTGATTTCTTTCCTTCTATTTTTATTGAAATAACTAAATTGCTTTCTCTTATATATTGTATGGAATAAAAAGTGCAGCTTAGAATATTAATTTCATTTTTATTATATGTTAATATTGATGTCAGTAAGATTTATTCTTCATTTCTTTGTTGTCTAAATGAAGGCTTCCCATCCTCCAGTGAATGTTAATTAGTTTAGTAGTTAAGGATATGTTGTAATACCTTGAGTTTGGTTTTGATTTTGGGCGGTCCAGCTTGACAAATTTTATTTTATGTTTTATGTTATAATTATTAAAATAAAAATTATCAAAATTAATTAACATATTTTATTATTAATATGAATAATATAAATTTAATTTTATGGTCCAATTCAATATTAGCAGTTTTTATCCAAAACTGTCTACTTAGTTTTAAAATTTTGATTGATTTGAGAATTGATAATGATTTTATATTTTTTTGTTTAATAAATTGGTTAACCTGTGAGTTAACCCAAAGTGGGTTCAAGCTATGTGGGACGATTTTGGCCCGCGCTGCATAGAAATAAACTCATTTATTTTTTTCAATCCAACTTATATTTTTTGTAGGTTGGCAGGTTAAACTTGCGTATTATCACCTCTACACAAAAGGAAGATTGAATAACGCGCAAGGACGTCCAACTGATGTTAACACTTGGCAATATATTTTGCTAATTTCCTCGTTGAAGAATTTTGGAGAAAAATACTACATGTAATCAAAGGTCAATGGTGCCTTGTGAGCATGATTAATCTTGTGACATGTGTATATATATATATATATATAGATATAATGTAAGGGGGAACTATAATATGTATTTGATATATTATAATTTATAATTCTATACAATTTATGTATTTTTGCGCTTATATTAATTTTTTGCCCTAAAATATGTACACATATATATTTGTTAATGTTTTTATAATATTATAATTATACTTGTTATAGTTATAATTAAAAAAAATGGGGTACCATTGGTATTGTAGATCCAGTACCAAATAGTAAACAAATTACAAAATATAAAGATAAAGATGTTAATAGAGGTGGTGTGGCATGGATTAGAGCAGTTCAAGCCCCTTAAATATATTTCTAGATTTTGATTCTATCTTGAAAAACATAAAAAAATAAATAAAGATGTTAATTTTATTCAAAATATGATCAGGTACTAAATGTAAGCATTTCTCTCATTAAAAATTCAAATTTTAGTTCATATTGTGTAAAACTAACCTCTTTTTATTAAATCTAACCCTTGTTGATCCACCGCCTAGCTTTTCACTGACTTGCTTTGCTAAGACAAATTCTCGACTAGCTCTTACATTTTGTACATGGAATGTGTAGCGTATAAAACTTTCTCCGAAACAGGCTGGTATAAAAAAATATTCCAAAACAAGGGATTCCTAGCCAACAATGTCTAAAACGATTAAAAATCAGAAAAAATGAAAAGAATAAAATTGAAAATTTCTGCAAATGCTTGAAGACCATTTATTTTCTTCCTCTCTTCTGAGATAATACAATTGCATGATTACAAAGTCCGTTGAAAGTTATTCACCAAAAAAAGTTCTGTTAAAAGTTGAACCTCCATGATTATACTCTAGGAAAATAATAAATAAGAATCTTATAAGAACATTATATTAAATTAGAATCTTTTAACAACTTAAGTTTTCAAATTTAGTACTCATTTTTCATGTTTCAATTCTAAAATCTTAAAAAAACAATTTTTGTATGAAAATAATAAAATACAATATATGAAAAAAATGTTATCAAAATATGAATATGCATGGAGAAATCATAAATTTTAAAATAAGTATAATAAATAATTTTTATAAATAACTATTAACAAAAATATCATAAAATTTTAAAAATTATTAAATAATAATTCTATTTTACAAAATCAATAAAACACTTAAAAATCATTTATTTTTGCAAGTAAAACAAACTTAACCTCTAACTTGTGTGGTGATGGCAAAGACTCAACTTGAGCCACACATTGATATTAGCAATATAAGAAGACCGAGTCAATGTTAACTTTTGCAATGGTTCCAACCTCCAAGGCTCAACTTCACTTGTCTATTCATATATACTTACAAGAAAGGAAGACTGAAGAACATGTAAGGAAGTCACACTGATATTAACACTCGGCAATATATTTTGTTAATTTCTACGTGGAAGAATTTCCAGAAAAAAGATTATAGTTAACCAATGTTAATGCGGCCTTGTGAGGATGATTAAATCTTGGAATTTGTGACAATGATTATATACATTGTGTTTTTTTTGCCACAATTATATATATGTATATGTATATAATGTTAGGTAAAAATGATATATATTTAATAAATTAATTTATAATTTATAATTTTATATAATTCATGTATTTTTGTGCTTACATATTAATTTTTTTGGCCCTAAAATATGTATATATGTATGTTTGTTATAATGTTATAATTATAATAATTCAATTTTTAATTTGATAATAATTTGAGTTATGAATTATAATCCTACTTGTAATATATTTATATATATATATATATATTTTGTACATGGAATGTGTAGTGTATAAAACTTTCTCACTAATTAAATCCAAAACAATCTGGTAAAAAAATGAAATAAAATAAATCCAAAACAAGGGATTCTTACCCAACAATGTCTAAGACGATTAAAAATCAATAAAATTGAAAATTTCTGCAAATGCTTGAAGAACATTTATTTTCTTCCTCTCTTCTGAGATGATACAATTGCATGATTACAAAGTCTGTTGAAAGTTATTCACCAAAAAGGGTTCTATTAAAAGTTATACTCTAGGAAAATAATAAATAAGGATCTTATAAAAATATTATTACTAAATTAGAATCTTTTAACAACTTAAGTTTTAAATTCAGCACTCTTTTTTCATGTTTCAATATTAAAATCTTTAAATTTTTTTTACAAAAATAATAAAATACAATATATGAAAAAATGTTATCAAAGTATGAATATGCATGGAGAAATCATAAAAGTTTAAAATAAGTAAATAAAAATAATTTTTATAAATAACTATTAAAAAATATTATAAAATTTTAAAAAGTTATTAAATAATAATTCTATTTTTATAAAATCGATAAAACACCTAAAAATTACTTATTTTGTAAGTGAAACAAACTTGACCTCTAACTTGTATCGTGGTGGAAAAGACTTAGCTTGAGCCACACATTGATATTGGCAATGTAAGAAGACCGCGTCAATGTTAACTTTTGCAATGGCTCCAACCTCCAAGAAAGGGAGATTGAAGAACATGCAAGGAAGTCATGCTGATATTAACACTTGGCATTATATTTTGTCAATTTCTACATTGAAGAATTTCCAGAAAAAAAGATTGCATTTAACCAAGGTTAATGCGGCCTTGTGAGGATGATTAAATATTGTAATTTGTGACAATGTTTTTTTTTTGCCACAATTATATATATACATATATAATGTTTTAGGTAAAAATATGATATATATTTAATGTATTAATTTATAATTTTATATCATTCATGTATTTTTTTGCTTATATATTAAAATTTTTTTGACCCTAAAACATGTATATATGTATATTTGTTATAATAGTTTTTATAATATTATAATTACGATAACTCAATTTTTAATTTGATAATAATTTCAATTATGAATTCTAATCCTAATTGTAATATTATTTATTTATTTATTTTATTTACATGCATACATGCATACATACATACATACATATATATGTATATATATACATATATATGTATATATATATATATATGTATATATATATATATATTTGTGCATATATATGTCTAGCAGGGTGTTGATTTTGAGTTCACAATCTTGTTAGTTTTGAATGGTTGCTCCATTTCATGACGGCTGAACATTTGGTGCAAAAGGGTTATCTAGCCGGTTCGCTCTAGTGTTACTGTTTATTTCGTTGGATGATAAACAATTAGTCTAACTCTTGTGGATCCACATTACAAAGGAAATTAGTCTCTGTTATTGGCGGAATATACTCTTGATAAAAAATGCGAAAAGTATACCTAGGTCTCACAAAAAAAAAATGTATTGCTAAAATGTCCCATATAATTTACAAAATACTCCCAAGTCATAAGTCCTGCATAGTTACAATTTGATAAAGGGCATTAATACTAGCTATAAAGAATATTGTAAAATCAAGCCAAAATATTTACACACTTTTTTTTAGGTTGAAGTAATAGCATTGCAGCGGTTCCATTTTACTTGTTTTAAACG